AGTTACTCTAAGCAAGCAAATCAAACAATTCTTTAAATTATAATAATTTTTATAAAGAAAAAGATTATAAGAGCAGCATCAGTTACAAAATAGTTTATAGTGAACTGTCTATTTTCATTATAAAAATTTATATTCAAAAATCAGTATCATATCACTTATCAATGTTATCTTTAAAATGTAAATAATCAATTCAACATTTTTGCTTTCTCTTACTTCTAATACTATTTTAGCATCTTCAATTGATTTTACAACAATCTACAAAAAATTTTCACAACACTATACATCAGTTCTAGTCTAAAGCAGTAAGAATTCCTCAGCATCTGAACTGGACAAAAGCAATATATCATATTCTAGTCTAATGTTTTTCATACTACTCATCATTCTAATTCTAGCTTTATAAATAATTTTCATCCCATAAATTTGGCAGTGATTTTTATACATATGAGGGGCTTTGCATATGATAATTAAAAAAAACCACTGTAGTTTGATTGCTATAGTAAATATATGTATTAGTTATATAAATGAATAACCTGAGATTTGCAGTTATATTGTATAAAGATTGACATTTAGGAGTTGGGACATAATATACTTTTATATTTATATGCTTAGGCCCAATAGAAAGGTTATTGTTGAATAACTTTTTAAAAAATAATTACTTTGTAAAAGAATTATCAAATGGATAGCAATAGACAGATCATGTAGAAAATTTTTAAAAATGGGTAGGGTTTTAACAAAACATTTTTTCATAAGTTTATTAATTTTTATAATATAGATATACTAATTGTGCAAATACAAATTATTCACATCTATATAAAATAAAATGCAGAATGAAGAAAATAAGGTATTAACTATACTTGGAAAATTAATGCAATTGGAGAGAGACAGGGAATTGTTAGGACAGAATCTTTGCAACTGGGTTAGTCATGAATATAAATGGTTTTTGTAGTTCTTGATTTCTGTCAGTATGCTTTTATTTTTTTCAAATTAGATTGATAAAATAAGACAATGCAATACTTGGACAATCTGCCAAGAGGAATGTCTCCCTAAAGGTTTTCTAGGGGAACTTGCCCAACTTATTAATAGATGTTAAACATGTGAAGATAACTTGAAGAAAGTTCACACACACAGTCAGCTCATTGGTCATGCACAGACTATGAGTCTGTGCATGACCCATTATTCAGTGACTTATGAACCCATTATTCAGTGGCTTATCCCTCACTTTTTATTTTTTTTTGTTTAGCATCAATAATCAACAAATCACTTCCCTAGCACTGTTGTTGTAATGAAATTAATATTTAAATTTTAAAATATCAATTTTCATTGTTTGATAAAAAATAAGTGAATCATTTTACATTGAAGAATGTGCACATGCTTCCAAAACTAACCATTTAACAGAAAGTGACAATGCAGTGAAATCATTTTGAGAACCTTACAAAACTTTTATATTTATATTTTAACACATCAAATTTTTTTGTTATGGCTATGAATTAATTAATAATAATACTATCCATACCGAAATTAAAAGTAAAATCTCAAAATTATAAAAATATATTATTATGAAAAGACAGTAATCGAATTTGACAGTGCTACCTCTAGCAGAGGGCTTTTTATTAATTTGTTCCAAAAAAAAATGTTAAGGGTCAAGGCTGGAATCCTAAATCACATGCTTTGTAAAGATGTATAACTTATAAAGATCTATATAGTAGTTTATTAGATCAAAAGAATATTGCAGACATTACTGTATTTATATATATGATAGAATAACAATGCAATAGACTAAAGAGAACCTAAATAAATATAATACATAAAATATATTGTTTAAATTTAATTCTCAAATAGAAGAGGGTTTTGGGAGTTTAATCCTCCTATGTGAACAGCCTTGTAGCACAGGTTGTAAGAGTGTAAACTGTAGATATTATGTAAAATAAATTAAAAGTATTGAAGTACGTATAACTGATAATATTTTCTATAATGTGTTATAAATCTATATTGTATGCTAGAATATTTCTATACAGAATTAGGAAAAGATATTAAAACAGTATGAAAAAGTAATTTAAATGTCCTGATTACAATGTAATTAAACTTTGTTCCTTATTGTTGCAGCTGAAGAGAAGTATGCCTAAAATGTAAGTCTAAAAAGTATATGCAAGAATAATAATAGATATTACTTGGAATTTTGAGACACCTACGAGTAGTTGAATTTAACAGAAATTAATATGTCCTTTTGAATATGTATTCATATGTTAATGTTCTATGCACAAGCAGATATTAACTATTGTGAATCCTAAGTACTAACCAAATTAATGGTATCATCATTAAATTGAGAAATAATTAGAATTTTTGTATTCCATTATAAAATATTAAAACATTTTTGAATATGGAACAGTTTTCTAAATATTAATAATTTTGCCAGAATTAGTTAACAGTATTGTGCATAAGTCAAAAACCATTCAATATTTTAAATAAAATCTATTTTTTATGTATATAAGTTAAGAATTCATTCAACAATAATTACTTAAAAATCAAAGTCCGAGATTAATCCAGTGAAAAAAAATTCTACAAAATATATAATACTATAGAAACTTTTTAAGAATAAGAATGAAGTGTTTATTACAACAATGGTCAAAAACAATTTAAAAACTCAGTTAAAGAAAACAGTAATAAAATGAAGAAAAATTCAACAAAATATTATCTATACTCGTCACAGAAGTTTCCAAAAAAAATAAAAATCTAATTTTAAAAAGTATCAATAAATAAATTCAAACAGTCATTTTAATTTAATAGGTACTGTACATTTATATATAACTAACTATAAAATAATTTGTTAAAAATCTTAATTGACTACTCTCATATATAATTCCTTTAAAAATTTTAATGTAATTGTATAAAGTGATTTTTAAACAAAAGGTCAGATAGTTTTATCTAGCACTATAGAGTTTGGTTTTGTAAATCTGAAAAATTGTTTTTATAATTTACCTGATGATGAATATATCATGGATTTAAGTTAATCAACTAATTTAACATTCATAGTTAATACTGGTTTAGCATCATTAAATTGAAACCTTCCTATTTTCTTTGAATATATGAATATTATTTACTAATGATGAGCATTCAATTCATATTAATCAATAAAGTATACAAAAATAAGATATTACTATTATTATCATTTAACAAGTTTAGTTAGTTATACTTACTATGCTAATTTATAATTTAATAAATCAAAATTTGCATTTTAAAGATTTTATTAGTTAAACTCTTAATTGACTAACTATTTAACTTCCTAGTCTGATTCGTACAATGATAGTAATGTTCGAAATATAACTATAAATTTTTTGTATTCTTTTTGTTTTTGTATTAAAATATTGCATTGCTTTTGAAATCTGCAGAAAGAATAACACAAAAATCTATTTAAAAAGTTAAAAATTTGAGAACAGAACAGATTTACAAATTATATAATATAGCTTGATCATCACACCTTAATTTACAAATTACATTGAACCAAATATAAATATATATTTGATACAAATGTAAGTTTTGAAGAAAATTTTAATATCAGATAAAAGCAACAGCTCTTATTTGTATATACACTATTTTCAAGCTTTCAAAAACAAATTTAAAATCAGGAAATCAAATTATGCAAAAATTTCATTTAAATTACTTTAATAATGAAATTACATTTCAATATAGAACTTGCATTATGTAAAGAATCTAGTAAAATATATTGGTAATGTAGATTATCTAATAAGTTCATATTAGTTTCTTTACATATTGAAGCATGATTCAATTTGAATAATTTAGAATAAATTAAAAATACTATCCTTAAAATGAGCTGTAAAACGATATTTGAATTTTCAGGAAATTAAGGTTTAAAATTACATAAACTGTAATTAATTCATAAGAAATAATATCAAGCAATTAAAATGATCTTACTAACAAACAAACTACAACATAAAAATAATTGATCATGCTATTCTTCTGTTCACATATTGATGAACCATCATCACTTTTGCACTATTCTATATCTGTTTATTAACAAGATTTTATTATTATTATTTACATATGCAAATTAACTTATGTATAAAATGATTTCTAGAAGTGCTTATAAATTGCTTTATTACTGTATTGCAAGTATTAAACTTATAATAAAATATTTTTCGTTAATCCATTAAAACAGCATTTAATTAACATCCTCCATTTAAAAACAAATAAAGATTTGTTCCTTTTACTCGAACACTAACAAAAAGGTTTATTATAACTTAAAATATAAGCCCATTTGAATTAAAAATACAATCAATTTTACTGTATTTTCAATTAAAAAAAAAAAGATTTAATAACATATATTATATAATCTAAATAAGTGATTGCTACTATACATTGCTATAAATCATTTAAAGGGGATATCTAAATTTAATAAAAACATAAAATAAAATACATACCAATTAATTTTTCAGTATAATAAATTGATATTATAATGTGTAATTACAGAATTAAGTTAGATTTTCAAAAGTAAAATAGTTTCCCTTTTGATAAATTTTAAAACACAGATATAACCACAGAATGAATCATAAAGGACAAAGCAAAGACAGGTTTACTTTTCAAAACAACTTTCATGGCTATAATTATGAAATAACTAAAACAGCTAAGATTTTAATTAGGATCTTTAAAACAATAAAAAAGCATAGAAGAACCACACCAAAATTTCTAACTTTTCTCAAATGATGAATACAGATCAATAATCATTTTTCATCGGATAATATCCAATAAAGAATATAAATATACATATATAAAAAGAGATTTAAGATACGAAAAGTCTGCAAGATATTGTTAAAAACAATAAGCGAAAAATGAACAAAAAAATAAAAAAAGTGTGTGGCCATTCCTGAAATTGCACGATATCCCATTATGATGAATAGAGGGTTGTTCGTATATATATATATACATATATATATAAAAAGGCTTCACAGTTAGGGTTATGAACGTTATTAAATGGAAGAATTTACCTCAGACACGTCGTCCTCGTCACTTTCCGACATATCAGCCATGAAATTCGTTTGGATTGATGTTAGACTTTGTCCTCTTTCCGTGCTAATTGGCGAGGATGAACTAGAATGGTCTTGACCAACCTCATTCGTTTCATTGACTCTTAAGTTATCAACGTTTTGCATTTTATAACTTCATTTACGTCACTTATAATGATATATGATGTAATATTGTTCGACGTAGAATTATTTAAAGATTATAATACAATATTATTTTTTTTAAACTTTTTTTTTTTCGACTGACGACGGACTCAACTCTTATTAACCACCTATCGTCGCCATGACAGTCTTCTCTCGTGTCTAGGTCCCGGATGTTAGATTTGCGATTCAGTCGCGCTCCACGTCGCTCATTTGCCTTTTTCCTCATTTTTTTTAATAAAAAAAAATAATAATAATTTGTTTTATGATCTCTGAATGCTCAAATTTACATTCTTAAACCTAAAATCATTGTAAAACTTTAATATCTAATTTTTTTTAATAAAAAAAAATATTGATAATTTGTTTTATGATCTCTGAATGCTCAAATTTACATTCTTAAACCTAAAATCATTGTAAAACTTTAATATCTAATGGAAATATTATATACATTTATCGATTCTGATGTTAACTTAAAGCTGACGGGCGGATTTATATGATACTTATTGCGAAAAATAGGTAGGACAGCAAATAAATAATATATACATTTTAATAACACTTGTAAATACTTTTTATTGTTTTTGTCTCATTATCTCAAAGNTGCCTTTGTCATAATGAAAAAAAATGTATTTAATAATTTATCATTTATTTATTATGATAAATTAAAAATTTAAGAATTCAAATTTTATCCATTTAACAAATTTATATTGTATCCTCTATTGTTTTTTCAACTGTTTGAATAATTTTACTTTCAATTACCGTATACCTTCAGTTTACGGTAATGCTCGTCTTCGTCTTTCTTCATGAATATTAATTATAATCTTACAAGAAGCCAAACGTCTTTTGAATACCACAAATAATTTTAAAGGATATTTTATTCAAATTTTCAAATCTTGCGACTTCAGTTTAAGTTTTAAATGGTATCCGATTCGGAACAGTATTTTTCATATAATAATGCAGTAATATATTTATTTGAATGATATTACTTGGGACTAAAAAATTATTTAATATTTTTTTTAGTATACAGTAGAGCGTCGTTTATCCGAAGGAATTCCAGTCGACAAATTTAAATTTTCGCCAGTGCTGTGGCGCTGTAATCTTTGGCTATGTCTTCGGCTACTCAAATATTTTACGTTTTTGATACTAAATTAACTTCTGAAGTGTATAATTTTTTATTGTTTTTATATTTTTCAATATATTTGTTTTGTTTGTACAAAATAAAAAAAATAATTTTTAACGATACAATAGTCTTCGTTAGGCTTAACATCGACGAAAATTCAACGCGAAGCGACACGCAACGGAGAAAAATTTCAACACGGGATAAATTAATATATTTTTCCGTACATAATTGGTTATCCGAACAACCCAGTCCCCAATTGATTCGGATAAACGACGCTCTACTGTATTCCTGTTACTGGACATAATACGTGTATCAATATATTGTCAATTGATGGGGAGGATCGATGTATAAAAAAATCGAATAAATCTTCAATTTTTCTTTAAATTTCGGACTAGAAAAATCATTGATATGTTAAAAGGAAAAACAAAACACTGTAAAATATGTTTAACATATAAATTAACTATTTATTACGTTTACACGATAAATACAGTACATCTTTATGTGTGTCATTATATCCGTATTCTCAAAACTCTATTAAAAATAAAATCATGTACGTATTAATTAATTAATATTATTAATTGTGTACGTTTCTTAAGGGCATCCCTGGTGCTCAAGGAGATCGTCCAATATGGAATGAAGAATTGGAAGCGACGTCACGATCAGTGCTTTTGATAAGTCGTAGAATCTAGTTTGTATTGATTTGAACCTGCAAGTTTTGATGGCTTCATGCCAACCGAATCCTTATCGCGCAGTTCTTTGTTTCGCTCTAGCAAATGAATATAACAGAATATTAAATATTGTGTTTAATATTATCCTTATCATTAAATTGACTATCTTTAGGAATCAGTTTAATTTTAGCAAAAATAAATAAATAAAATGGTTTTGGGAATAAATGAAAGAAATGAGAGAAGACTTTAGTTTTATAATTTTGCGCTTTGACAAATTTTATAAATATGCAAATTATCTTGCAGTAAACAACGAACCACACAAGTCAGTTGCCAAAATCTCATAGACTAATTCAAAAGCTCAAGCGACTCAAAGAATCATTACCATATAGATGTTTTATCAGCTCAAAGTTTCAGTTCACCTTTGTCTATCTTGGTACAAAGTTTGATGATCGTTTTCTTCGTCATTACAGAGTTTAATAATTTATATAAAATACGAGATGCGAAATATATATGAACAATGAACAATAATTGAAAAAGCTCTGTAAAAGGGAGCAATCTTGTCACCATTTTCGTAAACAGATTGTTTCATGCTCGTACTCACATGTTTTGATATTCTTGTAAGGTTTAGGTTCTTGAACATAATTGTCGAAGCATATATTTCCTTCTATATTCTCGGCCTACCAATCACCGAATGGATAAATTCATTGAACACTGGTAGTTCAATTTCTTGATCACAACGTATTGCCACGCTTCCATTTCAAATGTAACATATACCATTATTTCTTCTGACGGAGTTTAAAAAATAGTCAGGTTGAAAACCCACAATTGACGCTTGTAAAAGGTTATTCCATTGTGGAGATATGGTGTCGAGAGACATTTCTCTAAATCAAAAGGATGCTTGCATATTAATAAAATTTTCTCTATTGAAAGCTTTATTTTCATCTTTAGCCTTATATCCTGCATTTGCTATAGCGAGATAAGTTTTTTTTTTTTTTTTCACGGCCTTCTGTTCACATTTGTCACCACTTTCCCGACCTCATGCTTTCAGCGCAATTTCATATCTGTCGCAATTTGGACAGGTGTGATTCTTTGGCCTGTGAAACAATATTACTCACTGTAGTCATTGGTGTCACGTATAGCAAAAGCGAGTGGTGCAAAGGCCGAAGTGATTTTTGGCCTTTCTAGCACTACCGAGGATTGTTGACAAACTGGTCAATATCCGTTGTTGTACGCAGATAGACCTTACGAATGTGGTTACAAACGTGCCATTATCTCAAATTGATCAAAAATAGTCTTTGATCCTTTTAGTTCCAAGTTCATACAATCGACATCGTACGGAACACGGCTGTCCATAAATTACGTAACACGGATACAAATGAGTGAGTATACAGGTAATCGTTATGATACATTACACAGGAGTGAGGCGTTTACAAACCGTTACGTAACGTTAGGATCTCAACCTTTGAGTAACAGGATAATTCATTTTTCTTATTAATTAAAGTGTTGCATAGCGATCTGTACCGTTAATGTACCTTCTTTGTGTATTATACATGTTATTAAAATGAAGTAACATTCAGTACTTCGTGCAGTGTATCATTTCTTAGTACAATTAAGGAAGTTGATCGAAGATATGCATTACGTAATTTTGGGGACAGTATGTGCGACAGTGTTACGAGGCGTTATAGATAGTGGGGTTGTAATTGAAATGAATAAAAATAGCGTTACGTAATTTATGGACGATCCCACAGAGATAATTAGAGAATTTGCCAGACATGAAATAAAGAGCAAAAAGTCAATAAACAAATATCGAAAAATATATTTAATTAAAAAAAAATTATTAAAAAATAAGAAAAACGGACACAATTTTAACTTTAGTAGTGTTTTATCGAATTATTTATATTACCGAGTATTTTTTTAAAATTATTTTTGACATGTTTATTTAGCTTAGAATTTCAATGATAGTACACTTGTACTGTAAGAAGATACGCGTAGAGATGAATAAACTTTTTTAAACGTCGATTTATTTATTGGTTTAGCTAAAGACAAGATATTAAAATATCGATTTGAAAACATTAATAATATTTGATAAATCGTCATTAAAACATTCAAATATTGATGTTTCAACGATATTTGTTATTAAAATTAACCATTGTATTAGATAAATATGTAATTTTGAATTACAGCTAAAATTTTAATTAAAATTTATTCTGTCATTAAACATTACAAATATTTTCAAGAAGTTAAATAATTGTATTGAATGTTAATTTCAAATACAGTAAAATTAAAATACAATATTAAAAAAAATTCATTTGATGATTTCACACATTCAAATTGTCTTCACACGTACAGTACATGATATACATTCGACCCCCTATAACACTGTTGATAATTCCGTTTTATATGAATTCCATGTTGTACGAGTCACTTAGATTTTACAAATACGTGAGCCGTTCACAGCCCGGCACATGTATTTGTAAAATCTAAGTGACTCGTACAACATGGAATTCATATAAAATGGAATTATCAACAGTGTTATAGGGGGGTCGACTGGTATTATTAAAGTAATACGATAATCATATGTGGCATATTCAAAAATTATGTCTCTTTTAATAAATTAATTGTGATATAAACATAATATTATGTTATTTCTAATCCTTATCGCAAATTTGTTTAAATGATTTAAAAAAAAAAAACTGTAAACTAATTGTATACAATAGGCATCACTTGGCATTGTTCTGTGACGGCGACCTCAAAGATGCTTTGTCTAACTGATTACATCGACTATTTGTTGTGTGGATAACAATTAAGTCACAATTACACTATTGCATGGTCTCTTCTGACTCGAAATTTTTCAAATATAGTATTTCAAAAATATAAAAAGAAGCTATATTTATATATTTACATAAATATATATAACTTTAAATAATTTTATAGTTTACTTAAGTTCATTGCCAATATACGTAGTCGTAACAATACACTGGTGTTTAAAAAATATTCATATTAGGGACACCGGCTACATTGTCTTATCGTGATAGAATCAAGATGGAAAATTATGTTTTTGTAATAAAAATTTTTAATTAGTATTATTACAAGCAAACTATCTTTCTCTGTATCTAACTAGAGCGTTGACACACGTTCGAATATATATGTAGGACACGTGTGTGTATGATTGTGTGTGTGTTATCAGAAGAAAACGGTTACTGGCCATACGAGAAGGTAATCCTTACACTTGTCGACCACGACGAGAGGATCCTTACATTTTCTCGGCGCCGATTGCTTTATTCTTGTTCTTGGCGCCCATATTCCATCAGGCGCGCTCAATCGCATCAGGGAGCAAGGACAGTTTCCTAAAAAAAAACGTAGTGTGATAAGTCCAAACTAA